ACTCTTACATTTTTGCGTTTATCTCTATCCTTTTCTAAGTGTATATGGGGTGTTCCATACCAAAACGGACGGGGTTCACACTTCATGTGTTTGATTTGCTTCAAATTTTTGGGGTTGATGCATAAACATAAATAATGCCCGAACTTATACTTCTTTACTGTACATTGAATTGTTTTACACAAATACATATATCTTTCTCATGATTCCAGAAAAAAATAATAAAATACATACTATAAAATTATTAGAACCAATATCTGACACTACGAAAATACAGATAAGCCACAATAAAATTTAGAACAAAAACGTGTAATGTGCAAATAAAGGACTTGCTATAACGTAAGTTTCGTAAAGTGTACGCAATCCTTTCATCGAAAGGGGTCACAATCCATGCTTACTATAATATCTTTTCGAACAAAATATTTGACTGCAATTTTTTTAATAGTACCAGGTTGACCGGGCTTTACCTGGAGTGCATATACTTTTGAAACTTTTCATGATTTGTATAGCTTTAAAAAAAATATTTTGGAAATAAACAAAAAAAAAATTGGATTTCGATATCTATTAAGCAAATTCCTTACTCTAAAATTTTTGTGGCAACGCTATTGCGAAATACTCTGGAATGAATGGTGCATATCTTTTGATCGTATATGTACTGTGTATACATAAAAAATGTTGATTGAAATTAACAAAATAAAAATTTGTATTACTTAGAAACGTAGCAACCCTGACGGAAAATATTTTCTGACCAAAGTTCTTAGCAATACCTTTCACTGGATATCCATACTGCGATGTTTTAGATAAATTGTGTATAATCGAAAATAAGTGGCAACCTTACACTATTATCCTAAGAGATAACATTTTGTATATAGAGAAAGCATTGTTTAAGAACCTTCTCTTGGTACTCATAAATAGTAATATTTTACCTTTTTTTAAACAAAAAATTAAATAAATATGGTATTCATAATAGGTGGCAACCCTATTAAAAATATTTTTAATTAGGGATCATTAAAATATCCTTCGTTTGATACCCATATTATGATGTTTTAATTAATTTGTAACCAATTTCGAATAGTTGGCAACCTTATACGAGTCTTCTCCGAGATAATGCCTCTTCAGATAACCTTAAAATGCAAAACATTATCGGTGTACAAAATTTCATCAAAATCGTTAGAGCCGTTTCCGAGAACCCTGTGGATATATATATATATATATATATATACAAGAATCGTTTAATGTAATTTGCTGGTTTGAACCCCGATGTCTGTACATTATAGATATTAATTAAAGTTTTAAAGTCTTGTCTATAAAGAAGAAGCATATTTCCTTTAGCTGCCTATTCGCTTTGGTGCATTTTTCGCTTACGTGCACAATTTTGCCAAAATACTTCTTCATGAAATCGATTTGGTACGATATTTCCACTTTTAGCTGCGTTTCCGCTTAGCAACTCTTTTCCGTTTCACAGCCCTGTTTTTGAGTAAGTTTGTACGAAAAATTCTTCGCTTACCTGCCGTATAATGTTTTCACCACCAGTTAAGAAATTAGGCTCAAATTATTTAAAAAGTTAAATCAATTGTTCCAATATGGGTATCAACCGA